CGATGGGTAGAACCTCTGAGACTGTGCTCACCACTTTGCATACTGGCCTGCCTGTAAACTAGGTAGATCTCTGTACTTTGCAGGATTCAATCTGTAAGAACATAGACTTCTAACGTGTGTAGGTGGCACTTCGATTTACAACAGCAAAGTGTTCTATCCAGTAGGCCATTTGCTCCCACGTTGTGGGTGGTAATGGGACTGGTTACCTCTAAAATTGCTTCTCCACTCCAGGTGACTGTCCAAATGCCTATGGGACTCCAAAGTCCCAGATGGAATGGCCCCCATACCCACAAATGCTTTTGTGTAAAGATGGGTACCACAGAGGGAAATGATGTGTCTGGACTGCTACTGCAGTACAACCTGCCACAGATACTATCTGGTGTGAGGCAGGAGAAAGAGCAACTGGTGGGCAGACCTATGGGCAGCATGGACAGTAACTCATGAGCCATGAATGCCGGTTATTTGCTCTGACAGCTGGGCAGTGATCGAAGCACCCAGTTCACCAGACATGCTATCCAACACAGTGTGTATCATGGCACTTTCATCTGCCAAATAACCCTCAGGAGGCAAGGTCTGCAGAGTGCGGGGGGGATGCCTTACTAAGAGAACAAATACAGCCCTTGTTTCACACACCCACCTTGAATAGCTGGAATGATGTTCCTGGAGAAATACTAATAAATGTAAGTACCCATACAACTGGTCTGCTTGCGTCCCATGTCTAGGCCGTACATGAAGATGTTATGCTGCCTAAATTGGTACACAGACAAAGGTAGCTACTGTTTTGAAACTGAACACCAAGACACAGGGAAGGGACAGTTAAATAGGAACTGGGAGGTCCGATCTTGCATAGTACATCACATTTCTTTGCCACAGGGTAAGCAGTCTCCAGTCGGCCTAAACAGTTCCTGCTGATCTTTTTGGCTTCTGGGATTTGCACTGCGTGAGCTAAAGGAAATACCTCTAAGATCTAGTCGGCCTCTTAATGTGGCGTGACTTTTTGTTTGTTTGTTGTTTTTTTGAGACAGGGTCTCACTATGTAGTTGAGACTGACCTGGAACTCATGTGAGCTAAAGGAAATACCTCTAAGATCCAGTCGGCCTCTTAATGTGGCGTGACTGTTTGTTTGTTTGTTTGTTGTTTTTTTGAGACAGGGTCTCACTATGTAGTTGAGACTGACCTGGAACTCACTATGTAGCCTAGGCTGGTCTCGAAATCACAGCAATCCTCTCGTCTCAGCCTCCCGAGTGCTGGGATGACAGGCGTGCACCACCACGCCTGGCTTGGCATGACATTTTGACAGTAGTTTTAGAACACTCTTATAAACACTGTCCCATTGGACCATACATGCCGTATAGTCCACAGCACCAGCGCCCAGCTGCTGCTGTTGCTGTACAGTGTTAATACACTTGATTCCACCAGTACTGCCCTACTTGATGGTGAAGATCTTACCATTACAAGTCCTTACCAAACACTGACTTTTTAAAATGTTTATAAAATATCAGTCTGCTGATATTTTTTGGTGTTTTCTCTGACAGAATCTGCTTTTGAAATCAATACTTTTATCATTAAGCAAAGCCATCTGTTCCATTATAGAAAAGAATGTTCGATGTGCATTTCCAGTGAGAACACCAGTGTTGTTCACTTCATATTGCATGAAGGGAAGACCCCCAAACTGATGCTCTATCTGACCTGTAGCATCGTTGGGAAAGATGCTAAATTCTTGGTTTGCCTCTTGGAGCTCCTGCTAGAAAAGAAAACCCACTCATTGTCATTTGCATCATTGTTCTCTGCCTCTATTCATGAGGATGGTGCTACTTCTGCTGTGAAATCTGTTTCCAAGACATACAAGTACTCTTTCAGGAGAACACAGTGCTGACAAAATATTAAAAGCCCTCTCGGGGTCTGAGTGGGGTTGCTGAGGAGGGACAGGTATGTAAGAGCCACAGAAATACAAAGAAGGAAATATAGTGACCCTGCTTGGCCTGACTATAGACATTCTGGTTTTAAGTGCCATCTTGTCACTGGGTGGCCCTGGCTCACCTCCCAAGCCCGACAATAGGTTAAGATCCTGAGTTGTACTGGCCCTTGATATCCAGAGTGTTTTTTAACTGATGTTTAAACATGATGATACTTTTTCTGAAAGATCAGTTCTACTGCGGCTGGGGGTAACTCAACCTTATGTAACTGAATATAATTCCTGTAATCCTTACAGACATTGTAAAGCCAATAATATCTGTCTACTAATCAGCAATGTGATATTAGGGTGGGGGTCACGTCAAAGGAGGGCCACAAATACGTGTACATACATGTAATCAACTGGTCTTTGACAAAGGAACAAAAGGAATATCACAGAACAAAAATAATCTTTTCAACAATCTACGAGAACAACAGGACATTTTCCCATTTCTCTCTAAAAGCTATAAACCAAACCAAAAGTACAACCTGCAAAACTTCTACTCTTCACAAATACCACAGGCAAATGGATCATCTATCTAAATACAGAACTGTGAAACTCTTGGAAGATAAAGCAAGAGAAAATCTAGGTATTTTGGATTTGGAAATAGGTTTTAAGTAGAATAGCAGAAACATGACACATCAAAGAAAATTTTGAAAATCTGAACATCAATGCAATTGATACTGGCCTTGCTGAAGACAGTACTATGCTTATATGGACAGAAGTCATGGACTGGAAGAAAATACTTGGAAAAAAAACATATCCATGAAAAGGCTGTTCTTCACAATTTACAAAAACTTAGAATTCATCAATTACAACAAATTAGTATTAAAATCAGCCAGAGATTTCCACAAGTGCCTCAACAAAGAGGTAATGCCCCATGTGTCCTACCAACACATGCCAGAGGTCACAACATCAACACAAAGACTCATCACTGCAACTAACCACGCAAAATGATATAGCTCCTTAGAAGACAGTTTGATAATTTCTTATAAAACTAAAAATATTTTAAAACATTTATCCAAGAATGACACTCCTTTGTATTTATCCAGATGAGAAGATATGTCTACCAAAACCTCACATAGAGTTCGTACTAGTTTTATTCAGTTGCTAACTCATGAACTACTAAATAGGTAAGTGAACAAAGTGCAGGAAGTCTATCCATATAAGAGACTTCTCTTCAGAGGTTAAAAAGATGAAAGAGCTAACATGGCATAGAAAGATATGGAGGAAAGTGCTTGTGTATTTCTACATAAAAGATGTCAATCTGAACATGTTACATGTGTATGATTCTAACCATGGCGAATTGCTACTATTTATCACATTATGGAAAAGACACCACTACAAAAGAGCTTAGGTGTTGCTGCAGGCCCACGCAGAAGAAGAAAGAAATAGATAAAGCATAGAGTATGTTTATTCTGTTCATACTGCTACGAATGTATGTCATTATACATTTGTCAAATCTCATACAGTATACAACACAAAAAGATACTCCACAGTTTCATACGTATCAGGTTGCCTCATCAACTGTAGAAAATGTACCACACTATTCTAAATGTTAATGAAGGTTGAAACACAGGGGTGGAGGACATGAGAATTTTCTTCCCTTTCTGTTTAATTTTCCTCTATAGTTAAAAGGAGCTTTAAAGAAATACAACCCATGAATCAATAGCAATACAGTTTCAAGAATGATTCACATTGGTGACTAAACCAGGAGCACTCTACCAGCAGCTGTTACATTTTTTTTTTAACCTTGCTTGGGACAGGTACTTGTTACTCTTGGCAGGAACTGAACTGGTGACAATCAAACTTGTGACTCTCCTGCCTAACCCTTCCTCAGCACTGGGATTACAGACGTGCGACACCACCCTGGGTTTCTATAACAAAGTCTTATGGGTCTACTTTCTATGAGCTAAATCAGGCCCTCTTCTAAAGCCCCTACCTTTGCTTTATCTGCCCTTTCACTTTCCACATTCTTTTGATGGTCTGAATCTTTGCTTAATCTGAGTACTCCTGAGGCCTTTGTGACCCACAATTGAGGACACATTTTACTCTAATTCTTGAAAACTGAAACTAGTAAAGACTAGTCTCTGTTTTCTACTATAATGAATACTTAATACATGGCTTTTTCAACAAAATATAGAATTACAAATATTACTTGCAGATACAGATATTTCATGACTTAGTATGGGGCTACATCTTGCAGCACTCATCCTATGTTAAAAATATTGTAAGTTGGAAATTTAAATGAAATTTAACACACCTTGCTTACTCAACATCATCACTTCGCCTAGCTAAACTTTTATAAATTTGTTCAGATACACTGGCATATGGTTAGTCAATATTATCTATCATAAAATTTATTTTATCATAAAATTTTGACTAGCTTATGTAATGTACTGTGCTCTGAAGGGGAAAAGCAAAATGACTATGGAGACAGGAGGCACAGGTGGAGTATTCTATAGGCAGGGTGGGATGGAAAAAATTTAAAGGAAAAAAATATCCAAAAATCACTGCCACCAACAACAGCTCACTCTACAGATCGGTCAGTTTAACCTCAGGATCTAACAAGAGGGCCTTTTAGCTGCCCAGTATTTCAAGAGTGTAGTATAGCAGCACGCTGCTAGCTAACAAAATGAATGAAATTCAAAATATAATCACTGCTGAACACTTCTCACTTTTGCAGTGTCACAGTGTTCAAATTTTAGTTATACTATCAAAGGCAGAGACTACCTAACATTAAAAATTTGGTTGTGACAAGCTTAATAATTAGCAGCTGGATTTGTGGGAACTGTAGGCTCTGCTTTTATAGTTCTTGTTTTATTTTATAAGGTATATGTACAGATCTTAAAAGGCAATTGGGAATAAAAATACTTATGCACACAGCCACAGTGCAACATACTGCTTAAAATTTTCAAATAGTTATGTTTCTTGAAGTTAGTCCTTACAAACAAAACTTAAATTAAAATTTTATGCATTCTCAAAATGCATCTGAGCCAAGTAAATATAAACTATTTCACAAGAGCACAAAAAGCTAGTCTTTTACCTGAGCAGAGTCCGACACTTGTTTTCTCCGTGGCTCTCCTATGGTGCTGGTCAGGTTTGTGCAGTTATGAGGTAGAGTAAGTGTGTTTTGCTGCAGGTAAGGCACATTTCCATTACTTCCATTTCCTGTTACATAATTATCACCTACCAAATTAGTGTCTGTGTTCCCTAGAGTTTTTGATGTGCTGAAAGAAACAGAGCCCGCAGAAAAAGATCCACTGGACAAATGCTTTTCAAGACAAGTAGGGCGAACTCCATACTGAAAGATGCTAGATGCTCTGGTCAAAGCTGCATGTGGTTGCTGGCCAGGCAAAGAGTATGCAGGCAGTGATGAGTCAGATACTGGCCCATTACGAATTCCAGTGGTTTGTACCTGAGTAACTCCTGTTTGTCTCATCTTCAAAAACAAAAAAGACCTGCTTGTGTAATTCTGAAAACACATACTCCACAACGTCTCTAATTTTATATAGCATTTCATCTGTCTAGCTAAGAAAACATATACTTTAGAAAACAAGCAACTATGTTCATTTTCAGATGTGATTGTTGGTTAAAAAAGAACTCCACTTCATTTTGTGGTCAACAGAAGGGCAGAAACTTACAGATTATAAATCAGAAATTTATAGGCCTTTTTTCCTTCATAAAATACAAGATTTCGTTTCCATTTTATTACAAGGATGACAAATTCCTCAAATACAATGACTATCGCAACACCTGCATCTCGTTAGGATTATTTGTTAATTATTAAATACTAAACATAAATAAATAAATAATAAATAAATAAATAAATCAGAATAAAGCAAAGTTTTCTGTAAATAAGTCATAAAATGTTTTTGTATTCTTTCTTAAGAAAATATGTTCCTTATAAGTATTGAAAGCTCAGATATATTAATTCTGTTGAATACACATAGAAATAGGAAGTAAGCACTAATATCCTCTAAATGGTACTGTTTTTAAAAATATTCAGCTTGCTGATATATTTTAGAAAGAATGAAAGTGCTGTACATACTTGTTGCTGCATTAAAACAAACTGACTTTCCAGCTGTTCCAGCATCAATCTCTGTGCTGGATTTAAATTATTCTCATTTTCACGCAGCTGTTCTAAGTGCTAGATGAAGGAAAAAAAGGAATAACATCAAAGTTTAATCGAAAAGACTTTATAAGGACAATCTTTCAGTGAAGAGTAGAAACACAGCCATAGTGTGAGAGGAGATAGTAACCCTTAAAAATTGTAATCAAACCCCAAATATAAGTGTGAGAAAAGTCACAAAACTCTAGACATTCATTGAAAAAAGTTACTTTGTATGATTCGAAAGAAATGCATTATGGAGGAATGAAATTTCAGAGAGAAAGCTACTTAACACTTGGCGATGAATACAGCAGAAAAATAGCATGGTTAGCCAGAATCACATCCAATAACAGGAATTTGGCTACAGCAAGGTTATGTCCTGTGGAACCTTCACTGAACTGTTTATATAACCATACAAGAACAAAGAAGCAATACAGAGATGTGGAAAAATCCCTGAGATACTATTTCAAGTTATACAAAATAGCATGTCCTGAAATTATATATTCATATATGTGTTTGTGTATGCATATATGTATAATGTAACCTACATTTCCATTTCAAAGGCACAAAAAGGAATTTATAAGGCAGATTTTTTTTGTACATCCAAAAGAAACTACTAGTATTAGATGTATGTGGGACAGAAAACATGGGGCCAAAGGAAGGCTCCAAAATAATCCTTTCTCTCAAACAGGTGTACTTTTTCTCTAGGCCCACCCAAATGCATTATAATTCCTATTAGTACTTGGTAAATAGGAACTTATTTTACATATGTGTGTATTAATTTAGTTGGGTGCCTTTCAGTTTTAAGACTTAGTACCTAAAACACTTAACCCTTACGAGTTCCACTTTAAAATTAAGGATAATGTGTCAGCAGGATGTTTCATACCTGTAATCTCTGTGGTGTCAAACACCACGAATGAACTTGCTGCTGTACTGGATGATGTGAAGCAATCTGACCACTATTCCATTTTTCAGAAATGTTCTAAGGAAAAGAAATTTAAGAAGAAAACAGGAGCATTTTGTTAAATTCCTTGCTAATACCTATGATACAAAATTACAGGAATATGGAATATTGACAAATACATTTGAACTACTTTTAAATCCTTTAAAAATAGTAAAATGTGTAATTGGTTTACAAACCTGTAAATTTGGGGGAGAGGCCAATATCTAAATCTACATTATGTCTCAAAGAGCTGGAAACATTGTCCACTATACACACAATTTATTTCAATGTCAGCAGACAGATGGTGACACTTAAAATTGCAAATTCAGCAAAAAGAATGAAATGACTGGTGAACATAAATTTGTTCCTGCCTTCCATATGTAATAAGATGTAAAAACTATTAGAAATAGTGCTTCATTCTCTCATATCCACAAGATTAAAATACTAAAGTAGGCCAATTTCACAGGAGTTGGGGGTTTTGCTTTTATGGGTTTTGTCCATATTTATTTTTAGAAGTGTGTGTGTGTTTTGTGTGTGTGTGTGTGTGTGTGTGTGTGTGTGCGCACACTCTCTTTATACCTTTGTTGGACTAGGTATTCTTTTCCTCTTGGTAGAAGCAGGCAGGCCTTCTACTTGGCTAGAAGAAATTACGTGTAGCGATAAAGACTGCTGTGAAACTGGTGTTTGACTCTGGTCTAATATAGGTTCAATATTTGAATCATGAGCTTTACAAGCCTAAGGATCACAGAAGTAAAAAAAAAAAAAAAAAAAAAAAAAAATCTCCCTCTTCCCCTTTCTATCTCTCTCTCTCTTTCTAATATATGTGTGTGTGTGTGTGTGTATACACACATACATAACATATATTATTATATGTACATATTATATATATTATATATGTGTATATAGTATATGTAATATATGTGTATATATATAATTTCCTAAAAGTATAAAATGTAAAGTATCTACTTTTCAAAGATATGTGAACATCCCTGATTTCAAATATGAAAAATCAAAATTAAATGAATCTTCAATGGAAAATGTTTACCTTTTTTTTTAAAAAAACCCAAGTTTTTAATTCCATAAACCACTACAGTCTTCACTTCAATCTATTTCAAATCATAAGAATACACAAAGGTTCAAACTGGTACCCCAAGTTCCTTACTATGTGCAAGGGAGTTTTATTTTATCTAAAACTCCTTTACAATTAATTTAATGGCTTTTCTTTTTAAATTAAAAATGTTTTGCATTTAAAAAAGCCAATCCTACATTTAAATAACTTTGATTACTACAAATTGGTAAGAACCCTTAAAGCTGGGTGCCTACAGAAGATAACCCAACTTCTCACCTGCTGTGCTGTGTTCATGGCACCCTGCCTGGAGGTAAGCTCTGCGGGTATTGGTAGGCTCCATGCCTCCTCAATACTAGGAAGTAACTTAGTTTTATTCTGTAGACTACTTTGTGGAAGGTTACACAACTGAGCCTAGGAAAAATTACGTAAAAAGCAAATTTAACACAAGCCTATTTGAGTATGATCAAGTCTTCCTAAATCTTCCTCAATGTTTTAAGTCTATATATTTACAGAAATATAATTCTAAATTTGGGGTTTTACATAGATGTTGTAAAGAGGGCAACTGGAATATACTTGAGAGAATCAGACCAAAGCTCTAATTTCCAGAGTTCTCATAAATATTTTAAGCACTAGTGAAAAGCAGTGTTTGTGTTCTTTAAAATGCGATGACAACTTAAAAATGTAGGTAGCACATGAAAAATGTTCATGCATATTAATGTTAAACAGGTAAATTAATACACATGTATATGTGCAAGAGGACATATTTTAAATACTACACAACTTACTTTAAATAAAAAATAAAATACTGCCACAAAATATGGAAATAAGTTAACAAGTTAACAGCTTCCCTTTTTCTGATCCTTATGATAGAGAAATTTGTATCTTTTAAAATATTACCTGTAAAAACTTAATTCTTGCTGCAAGTGTAGAAATATTACTACAATCTTTGCTTCTAGTTGCATTTAAGTAGCATTTAATGGCATCCTGAGGTTGACTACAGGATTCATACAGAGTACCCAAGTCCATCCAAGCTGCTGCATGCCCATGGTCTAATTGCACAGCACAAATATAGGCCTGCAAAGCATCCATGGGCTGATTCTGCTGTTGGTAGAGTACACTGGAAAGAGAATAAAGAATAAGTTTTCAAAATCTAACCTATCTTATAAGATTCCTGCATGGGCCAAGGATTTAGCTCAGTGGTGCCTACACCTGGGTTGCAAGTGCAAGACCCCAAATTTGATCCCCAATACCAAAACCAAAAAAAACAAAAAAGCAAAAACAAAAAACTAGATTGCTGCATAGTATGCCTTTCAATCACCTTACGCATCCAGTAAAATTATACATACATATATAAAATAATATTCATTTATAGTTGTGTATGTAAAATCTTACCCTATTGAACACCATGTATCTGCACTTGCTTCTGATTTATCAATAGACTGCCTGTAAGATATAAAGGCATCTTGAACTTTCCCAATACTTGAATAACACCTAAAAGAGAAAAAAATATGCATATATATATATATATATATATATAAAATCACATTTATAACGTTCATTATTTGCCAAAATAAGTCAATATTCAAAGAAGTGGGAGGACCTGTATATGGCATATATTATGTACATATCTAAATGTATATAAAGACTAAAATATCAAAAACTGACTCATGGTACATTATTGCCCAGTACGACCTTCAATGGATGTATGCATCAATTAAAATAGTAATATATTGTGTATATATGATAATTATGTATATGTGTAATTTTACATATAATACATTTTAAATTTTATATGGCCACTAATATGCTTTGGTTTTTTTTCAAGACAGGGTTTCACTATGTAGGTGAGGATGACCTGGAACTCACTATGTAGCCCAGGCTGGTCTCAAATTCACAGCAATCTTCCTGCCTCAGCATCCCAAGTACTGGGATTACAGGCGTGTGCAACCATGCCTGGTATATTAAAAATGTCAGATGATAGCAGCAATGTAAACTGTTAAATGCAGCAGGTAAGGTAAATATTAGTGGAGGGAAAAACAACATTAAATTTTTTTTTCAGACTATGAGAAAAATCTAAACGCTAGAAAAAATATGATTATTTCCTAAGACCATTTTCACCTTCAATTTCTAAATAATTAAGAAAAAAGGCTCAAGAGAGATCTCCCTCCACTGTCAGGGCCCCATCTATGGGCCCACATAGCCATGCCTTTCCCTGCGGGTGCCACTGACTGCTGCGGACCCAGCTCCAGCAGAGTGAGTTTTGGGAAAGAAGCTGGCTTGGACTTCAGATCTCCCTCTGCCGGTCTGGGCCGTGCCTTTCCCTGTGGGCGCTACTGCTTGCTCCAGAAACAGCGTCAGGAGGGTAGCCCCATGGGCATTGCTGAGCATCCCACCCCCCTCAAATCCCCTGATTGTGCCAGACCTTGGATGCACTCCAAAGAGTCATGGCTGGCTATAAAGGGTGGTGATTGATCCTATTATGCTCCTGATTGTATCGATTGGGATAAAGGATAGGGATTGATGTGACAAGTTGTTGTCTCAACTATGAAAATGAGAATGTCTATAAGTCATGAAAGAATCAAAGGCTGGGAAACAATGATATCAGGAAGATTTAACGACCCAGAGATGGAATCAAAGGCAACCCAACGGCAAAAATAAAGATGAGAAAACACTTAAGCAAGCCACAAAGACAGACGTCCAGTTCACCAATGGCAAAAAGTAGGGGAAAGGAGGATGAAAAATCTGATAGTGAACCACCAGGATACTCAGAACTCACAGCAAAGGATGTAACAAAACCAATCAATCAAGCTCTAGAAAACATTCAAACCAGAAATAACTTCCCAGATAACCACAGAGATGGTAAGCAAAACGAAAAATATGATTTGAGACTCTAGAACAGAAACTGAGAAAAAAAATAGATGAGCTCAGGAACATAATAGAAAACATGAAGGCCCAGAATAAGAAAGAAATGGAAATAATGAACACCCCAAATAGAAAAGAAATGGAATCCATTAAATAGATATTCAGGAGATTAAAAGCTCAATTGAAAGTGTACGCAACAGAATAAAAGATTGTGAAGATAAGAATCTCAGATACAGAAGATAGGATTGCAGACAATGACCGGGAAAAGAGAGGTCTCTTAAAAACAGTAAGGGATCATGAGAAATTGACCCAACAACGCCTAGATGATGCAAAGAAGAATAACATAAGACTGACGGGAATCCATGAAGTATCAGAAGAAAATACAAATGACTCAAAAAAGCTGTTCACAGAATTAATGACAGAAAACTTCCCCAACAGAGGGGAAGAATTTCACATAAAGATAAGTGAGGCATATAGGACTCCAACTAGCCAGGATCAAAAAAAAAAAAAAAAAAAAAAAAAAACAAAACAACAGCAGAACAAAATACAACAAGCAGTAAGAGAAAAGAAACAAATCACATGCAAAGGAAAGCCCATCAGAATCAGAGCAGACTTTTCAACACAAACCCTACCTAGGTCAAGGACACCCTGGAGTGAGGTATTTCAAGTCCTAAAAGAAAACAACCTACAACCAAGACTGATGTATTCTGCAAAACTCTCTTTCAAAATGGATGGAGAAATAAGATACTTCCATGGCAAAGATCACTTGAGAAACTTAATGAAATATTAAACCAGCAGCACTACAAAGGAATTTTAACAATATCCTAGAAATAGACATTGAAGACCACAACACCATGAGGCCCAACAGAGCAAATCAAATAGCCAAGGCAAGAAATTATTAAAGGAGAGGGCAAAAAGAGTCAACAAAAGGACAATAACATGCCAATAGTGAGTCAGTACATATCAGTTATAGCTATCAATGTCAATGGCCTCAATCACCACTCAAGAGAAACAGATTGGCAGAATGGATTCAGAAGCAAAACCCAACAACATGTTGTATACAAGAAACATACCTAGTGCAAAAAGGAGCCCACAGACTGAAAATGAAAGGGTGGAAAACAATTCTCCACCTGACAGGAGCCCAGAAAAAAGCAGGGGTTGCAATCTTATTCACAGACAGAGTAAATTTCAAACAAAAACTCATTAAGAGAGACAAAGAAGGACACTATATTCTTGTAAAGGGAACAATTCAAGAGGAAGAAATGACAATCATAAACATATATGCACCAAATATAAATGCCCCCAACTATATAAAACAAATATTAAATAACATGAAAAACCAAATAAGCGCTAATACAACTGTAGTGGGGGATCTAAATGCCCTACTATCACAAATAGATCATCTAGGCACAAAATCAACAGTGAAATACTAGAACTGAACCAAGCTTTTTAACACATGGACTGATTAGATGTCTACAAAGTATTCCACCCCACAAAACCAGAAGATACATTCTTTTCAGCTGCACATGGGTCATTCCCCAAGAACAGGTTTTAATAAATGGAAAAGAACTGAAGTTATTCCCTGTATATTATCAGATCACAGAGCAATAAAACTGGAGATCAATAACATAAGAAACTGTAGGAACTTCACAAACACATGGAAATTGAACAACACTCTCCTGAACAAGCAATGGATCACAGAGGACAAGAAGAAATCAGACAGTTTTTACAAATAAACAAAAATGCCAGTACACATACAGGAATCTATGGGACACAATGAAAGCAGTTCTACATGAAAAATTCATAGGACTGAATGCCTACAATAGGAAAACAGAGCGAGCTCAAATAAACAACCTAATGATGATTCTTAGAGTCCTAGAAGAGCAAGAGCAAGAAAAACCCAAAGTTCAAAGAAGAGAGGAAATTAACTATAAAGATCAAAGCAGAAATCAATGCAATGGAAACTAAGAAAATGATACAAAAAATAAATGAAACAAAGAGCTGGTTTTTTGTAAGAATAAATGGAATTGATAAACCCTTAGCAAATCTTATCAAAAAAAGGAAAGAAAAGGCTCAGATCCATGCAATCAGGAATGAAAAAGGCAAATTCACAACAGATCACACAGACATCCAGAGGATCATTAATACCTACTATGAGAACCTGTACTCTAAGAAAGTGGAAAACACAGAAGAAATGGACAGATTTCTACATACTTGTGAATCACCAAAGTTGAACGAGGAAGACAAAAACATTTTAAACACCCCAATTACAATCAGTGAAATTGAAGATGTAATTGAAAACTTACCAACAAAGAAAAGGCCAGGCCCTGTTGGATTCATTGCTGAATTTTACAAGACATTTACAGAAGAACTACTGCCATTTTTCTTCAAACTTTTCAATGAAATTGAAAGGGAAGAAATACTTCCAAATTCATTCCTGGAAGTAAGTATCACTTTGATTCCCAAACGACGGAGAGATGTATCTAAAAAAAGAGAACTACAGGCCAATTTCCTTAATGATCACAGATGCAAATATCCTCAATAAGATACTGGCAAACAGCGGGTCATCAAGAAGATCATACACCCTTACCACATTGGATGTCGCAGGGATGCAAAGATGGTTCAACATAAATAAATCGATAAATGTAATACACTATATTAACAGAGTCAAGGACAAAAACCACATGATCCTCTCAATAGACGCAGAAAAAGCATTTGATAAAATTCAACACCCATTCATGACAAAAATCCTGCAGAAAATTGGAATAGATGGTCTATATCTCAACTTAATAAAGGCTACCTATGAAAAACCAACAGCCAACATCATGTTAAATGGCCAAAAACTGAAAACCTTCATGACAAAATCAGGAACAAGACAAGGATGCCCACTATCACCACTCCTCTTCGATATAGTTCTGGAAACATTAGCCATAATAGCACTTAGACAAGCAAAAGAAATTAAAGCAATAAAGATAGGAAAGGAAGAAGTTAAACTGTCATTATTTGCTGATGATATGATGTTCTACAATGAAGACCCCAAAAACTCCACCAAATGACTTCTTGACTTAATTGACACTTTTAGCAAGGTAGCTGGATACAAGGTCAACACCCAAAAATCAATAGCCTTCTTGTACACAAATAACACACTCACTGAGAGAGAAATGAGGGAAACAACTTCTTTCACAGTAGCACCCAAAAAAATGCACTGTCTGGGAATCAATCTAACAAAAGAAGAAAAGACCTCTACACTGAAAACTACAGCACTCTGAAAAATGAGATAGAACAGGATATAAGAAAATGCAAAGATATCCCCTGCTCCAGGGTAGGAAGAATCAACATAGTGCAAATGGCCAGACTACCAAAACTGCTATACATATTCAATGAAATATCAACTGATATTCCAACACTGTATTTCACAGAACTAGAAAAAAGAAACGAAAAATTCATTTGGAACCATAAGAGACCTAGAATAGCAAAAGCCATCCTAGGCAACAGACACATGGCAGTGGTTATAACAATTCCCAATCTGAAACTATACTACAAAGCCACTGTGATGAAAACAGCATGGCACTGGCAAAGAAAAAGACATGAGGATCAGTGGAATAGACTGAAACACACAAAAACAACTC